AATTTCTTTTTTAATATCAAATAAATGAATTTCCTTAAAAAAAGTCAGTGTTCCACTAAACACACACACGATCCTTCCTCAGAGGACAGGTAAAGCCAACAATGTGCACAGTGACTTCCAGGAAGGGGGAATGAGGCCGTACGGTGGACACACCTGACCCACACCTCAGCCAGGTGGTCAAGGTTGCCGTCAGCACGCTATTTGAGAGGATGGCAAAGATACATAAGCCCAGGCCAGTCACAGGAGAGCAAACTCCACATGAGGGATACTCTACAGAATACCTGGTCAGCGCTCCTTAAACTACCAGGCAGAACCACCGAAAACAACGAGTCTGACAGAGCCACGGCCAAAAGGAGCCCATGGAGAGCCGACCCCCAGGGCCGCCGGGACGCCTGTGCCAGGGAAAGCTGCGGAAGCCTGAGCAGGCGGGGACTCTGGCTGGCAGAGACACACGAGCGCGGGCCCAGTGACGAACACAGCGCATCGAGCTCAGACGCTCATGGGGCACTGGGGGCGCGGCATGAAAGCTCTCTACCATCCTCATGATTTTTCTGTAAATTAAAACTCTGCTAAAAAATTAGGTTAGTTTTTAAAATGCTTAGGAATTTTAAAAATTACATTTCCTCAATCATTTAAATCTTGATTAAAAACTTCAACAACTCCGAACATTCATTAAAATCCTAAGTCCAACACAGTAGATTCTCTTCAATGCTCTCAAATTAAAAATCAGACAAAAACACACACACACAACGATGATGAAACACTGCCAAACGCCCTCAGCACGTCACCGTTTAAAATGGCCAACAGGCCCAGCCTCCGGCAGACCAGTACAGACAGCGCTCCCGGGGCCACCAGGGGGAGGACAGGTCACAGAACGTCTGGGCAGAGGCATCAGGGCGGGGCGGCCCCCGAGTCCCAGGGAGAGGAAGCAGAGGGGGGAGGGGCACGGGCAGCAGGGCAGGAGCCGCTGGAGGAGCCGGGAGCCCGGGAAGCTGAGACGCTCTCAGCAGCGGGGGCACAGGGAGCAGCCGCAGGTCGGCGCCGCCAGGAAACAGGGCCCCACCCGAAGCGCTCGTCAGGGACCCAGGCGGAGGACCGACCTCAGCTCAGCATCAGTCGGCTGGTTTCTGAAGGGACGTGGGGATCTGTCCTGACCTGAACGCCTGCCGGAGACGGTAAGCGCCTCGTCTCAAGAAAAAGGCGACACCATCCAGAGCTTCAAGTGCCTTTAGAGTTCTTCAAAAGTAATGACAGTCGCTTAAAAAAAAAACATGCTTACCAAAAAAACAAGATTAATGACCAAAGACGAAGGGATGGGAGGGCACCAGACAATCGGGACAGATTCAACAGAGGCCCAGATACAGCGGCTATCAGACACCCTTTGATTAATGTGTTCAAGAAGTTAGATGACAAAACAATTTCAGCAGATAAGTTGAAATTATAAAAGAATGGAAACTGTAGACATGGAAATAACTACAACTAACATTAAAAATCCAAACATAAGCAGTACAGGTCTAGACACAGGTGAGCAGGAGCCGAGAAGGCCAACACGGCGGGAGGCAGGCAGGAAGAGCTGGCTGGGGAAGAGGTCGGGATGAAAAGGCGGGCCAGGGCGGGAGGGACGGAGAGCCGGTGCGGGCCCAGTGGGGGCTGCGGGCCCAGGAGGGCGCAGGGGACTCGGGCGCAGGCACCACTGAGGCAGCGCTCAGAGGCTTTCCCCAGACTGACAAGGGCTGCCAGCCAAGGGACGCTCTGGGTCCCAAGCAAAGAACAGACATGAGTACACGGCATGCCCCAGACAGTATAAATACTCAAAACCAACTCAGGAAAACCTAAATAATAAACCCTGCCAGAAAGATAGGAAACATCTTGAGGAACAGCAAACTTCTTGTTAGAAACATGAAGGTCAGAAGCATCTACTACTGGAAGTTTGGAAGTGCTGACGGAAAATGCCAATTTAGAATTCCATACCCAATGAACATAGCCGTCAGTAATGAGGACAATCTTCCTTCCTTATTAGTTTGGCCCAAAACCCACTAAGCAGGGCTGGGCTCGTTCTGCCTCCACACGGGGGGTGGGAAGCTGGTCACGCACTGGGTAACCCAGTAAGTACCCTGAGGCAAAGGTGCCTCGCTGTCTGAGAAGGACACAGGGTGGGAGACACTAGGATGAACTGCATGTCACCCTGGAATTGGAGGGATGATGCAATTCAAAATTGTCAGTATTCAGAGAGAAATAAAATATAGATGCACAAGGATTAAATAGGAATCTGGAGTCCACAGTGACACGGTAATTGAATAAAAAGGAGAAGAGAAAGCATTCCCTTATGGAAGACAGCACTAGGAACACAGAAGGAATGAGAGAATTCAGGAAGTACGATTTGGCGATCACAGTATTAACAACATAGCCAAGGAAATCAACGGATGCTAAACTACTGGGTTAAAGATTGATGACAAAATGCACATTTACAAGTTTCAAAGTACTTCCCCCCAAAATACATATTGATTACAGGGAGCAAAAGAGAAACTTTACGTGAGGCACCATCTCAGAGTCACGCGGCCAAAGCTAAAGTAACTAGGGACGAAATAAATGGGGATCCTGCGAAATGTATGAATTCCAGGATGCCCCTACAATCACGGGATGCATCCAACAAAATCAAACTGAGGGCCATTCAAACAGTAATTGTCCTGTCATCTGTAACCTTCAAAAGTCTCAGGTCATGAATGCCAGGGGAAGCCTGAGGACTGGCAGTCAGAGACCAGGGAGACGAGGTGCCATGGGTTGATTTTCTCTCTGAGGAAAGGCCCTGGGACAGGCCCGCAGACCAGAGACAGTCACGCTGAGCGGGGACGTCCGGTCCTGGTGGCTGTGCTGTGGTCAGAGAGGACACGGGTCCCCCCTGTGGGAACACGCTTCCCGGCTGGTTCTCGCACCTTCGCCTACGCCAGGACTGACTGGAGGACTCCTTAAAACAGGCTTCTGGGCCCCATCTCCAGAGGGTCTGAGTGGGCAGGCCTGGACAGGGGCCTGACAACTTTCACTCCGTGGTGGTGGCCAGGGGGCGGGAGTAGGAACTGCACTGCAATGGCCACCTGAAGAGTCTCACGCTGGCAGGGCACCCTGTGGATTAGTTACTCACCAAGGTTCAGAGAAAGCCGGTTTTCTATTCTTGTTATTTTTGTCAAATTTGAAACGTTCCGAAATAAAAACAGACAAAATCATAGAGACCATTTTAAACACTGAGTGTGAGAGCTCGTTGTCAGCACAGTCTTGGGGCAGAAGGACAGGGCGATGGGCCTACATGGCAGCAGTGAGCCCCGGGGAGGGCAGTGGGAACGGCCCCCTCAAATGATGAGCCCCTGCCAGAGGGAAGGGGCACCAAGCCCCGGCAACAGGGACGAAGGAGGCACGTGGTCAGTCTCACATCTAACGGAGCTAAAACCACAGAACAGGACATTTTACACAACTTCATGCCAGAAATTAGGAAATTTAAATGAAAGGGAGCAAATTCCTTGAAAAATGCAACTTTCAAAATATAATCCAAGAAGAAATAGAACACTGTATACCCCATCCCCATTAACGTAACTGAATCCATCCTCTCAAACACTGCAGCAGAGCCCTGCGGGTCAGCCGCCCACATCGGGGGGCCAGAGTCAGCGGCCCATGCAAACTCGGCCAGACAATAAAAACTGAGGTCCTGAGGGTGAAACCTGACAGGGACCTTACAAAAAGGGAACATTACCATCCAATCTCTCAAGAATCCAGAAAACTAAAGTCCTCAACTGAATGTGGAAATTAGGTTCAGTTACACATGACAAGAAAAAACACGCTCACACACACACACCAAGGCCATGGCTGTGACGACACAGGAGAAAGTGAGGCCTGTGTATGATGCCACAGGAGCTGGTGAATCTTAAAAGTAGAGCGGGAACGGTCACCAGGTGCAGTGAGCAGGCATCCCAGCCCTGGACACAGTCGACGCTTCAGACCCGCACACGTCCACTCAGGAGGGAGGGAGAAACCGCAGGCATGTGCCACCTGCGCAGGCCAGAGACGGGCGTGCAGAAACACCAACCGGAGGCGCCTCTGAGCGACACCTTTGCAGTTTTATGTATTTCCTCAAACTTCTAGGCTGACTAAACTTACCATCATAACCACCAAAAGAACTTAGCTTAAAAGAAAACACCAAGTCCCCAAGCAAGAAAGCAAACAGCGGGACGGACGTGCCCAGCACCCCTCAGCGTCCTTGCCAAGGCGCACAGCAGGTGAGAGGCACGGTAACGTGAAAATACTTAACCAGGATTTAACTCAGTGCTCAGGGCTTAGCGGGAGTTCTGCTTCAAGTACAATCGCTCTGCGCTCGCCGACAGCAAAGCCCCGCCACCTGTGTGGGATGGATGGCACGCTCAGTGCCCGCTGACACCAGGGTTCCCAGAGAGGGCTGCACCCAGAACTTAGAAGTGTCCTCCAAGTCTGTGCACTCTTGCCTGAAATGACGCTCCAAACCATTCTGAAACCAATTCACTGAAGACGTAAAGAGATCAGAGGACGTCAGTGGAGCAGCCCAGCCTCCACCCTCGCCCAGCCCTGCCTCACCCCAGCCCTGCGTGCTCCCATTTGCTCAGGGACCCCCCTGCTCAAACGTGCCTTCCTTGCTCGTGGCCGGAGGTGCCACAAAGAGGAGGGCAAAGCAGAGGTAAGACTTGGCACTGAAGAAATGTAAAGACTGAAGCACAGAGCGCTTCACTCCGAGATGACATGCTGATGGAGAGGGTGGCCGCGACACTGGCCCCCGGGGACAGCTTGCCGCGCACGACCCGGGGACACGGCCCCAGCTTGACGTGCCGTGAGGAAGGGAAAAGGGAGGACGACCTCAGTGTAAAGGAAACTTCCACTGAAGCAAAAAGAAAAATACCAACAAAACCATTTTTTAGAGCAGTGACTCTCCTAGCGTCGAGTTCATACCGCCGTGGGCTGGCTCTCAGCTCCGGAGATCTTACCTCCATGAACCTGTGGAAGACTCGGTTGCTCTGGTGCGCTCCGATGGTGACTTCTGGGAGATAGAGGGGAATGGTTGTGTGATTCAGCACCTCCAGCTTATTCTGAACCCTACAAAATAAGACAAATACAGCTCACATTAAAACCAAAGAAGTACATTAATAAGCTATTAAGGCTGATTTTTAAAAACATCCATATTAAATATTCATACATTCAAATAAATGCCACTCATTCCCAGCCAGTCACAGTGAAACACAAATTCCGCCCTAAGGACCACCTGTGTGCATGTAGGTGCTTCTCTGAAATGACCTGCAGAACCTGAGGTTGAGCCTTTCAAAGCCTCAGCGACCTCTGGGGAATAGATGCAGTTTTGGAAGCAAAAAAGGTGCCAGAGTATGCTTTAAACTCGGGAACATCAAGAACAAAGTGCCAAAAATAAACACGACTGTTACAATGCTGAGCACATAGTATGCCCTCATTAAAACGTGCAAAATTAATGAATCTCAAGGGAAAGACGAGTAACTCCAGAGGTACAGAGCAGGCGTCAGGCTGCCCTGCCTGGATGGGGAGCTGTCTGACGACGCCAGGAGCGGGAGCTGACAAGGGCACACGGGACTCGAGGGCAGGGGGTCAGGGGAAGCCCGCAGGCTGGCCTGCTGAACCACCGCCTATAAAAGGTCTAAACTCTTGCACCAATGAATACAAATCATAGGATACTCTCTCCTTGCCTCACTGTTTTATTTTGCTGAATGCTAAAATATTTACACGTTGTTATAAGTTACTTATTTTAAATTAAATGTAGTCTGAATATAACCACCGTACTTGAAAAACATCTTCTGGGCTTTTAGAAAGAAACATTAAAATAAGTCTCTGTTTTTAAGGGCTTAAAACAAAGAACATAATTATTTTAAATGGTCACCTTCCCATTAATGAGTTATAACAGCAGAAGAGGATTCTGTTCGTAATGGCCCAAGTAGAAGTCCTTCAATGCATCTGGCTCTCAGCCACTTTGTGAGGCAGAGCCCAGACCCACGTGCGTCCCCTGGCACCCTGGGCAGGTGTCACAGTCAGAGCAGTCCGGCTCCCACCCTGGGCCCGGTGGTCCCCGGACCCACCTCCACGGAGGCCCCGAGCATCAGAACCTGCCGCAGGCTGAATGTGCATGGACAGCAAGTAAAGGCCCATCCAAGTAACAGTAAAAACTAGACCACTTGCACCATGACTAATAATCCAATAACCAAAGCTCACTCCCCAGGAGCTGCCAGGACAATGGAGTGTTTTCCAAGCATAGTAAGTGGGCCCTGCCAGGCATGCGGGGCAGCTGGAACGCACATATTCAGGACAAGAAGTTTTCCTTAGTTATGACAGTAAGTTATATAACATATCTTTCGTAAGCATGGATCAAAAACGTATAAGCACAGTCTTATTTTTAATACAAACAAAATTATTCTATAATTATTATATAAGAGTAATTTTTTAAAGTGATCCAAACAATGAATGATTTCAACTAAAACCAAAGTTCACATTTTTAAATGTTAACAAATATCAAAGTAGGGTATGATTTGGTTTTCTCTATAGTTTGAAAAACCTAGAAAAATTCTGGAAAATGTGGAAGAACTTACTGGCCAGGGAACGTGTGCAGCCTACACCGGGTAACAGCACCACCTATCGTTAGTTTGCCAGAACTACAGTCTATAAAAATGCCCCCAGCAGGGTGTATCCTTCAATAAATATGCTTCACACTGTTTTTGAAGATTAAAAAAGTAATTTACTGCAACTGTTCTACAACTTGCTCAAATGGCTAAACTGCACTGTCAATTTATTATTCTGAGTTTAAGTGATGACTATTAAAAAGCAAACCTATCATGAGAGGTGTTGTACCTCCAGCAACCCCTAAGACTCCAGCCTCCACGATATATTCTGGATTGTGAAGATCAAAACCGGAAGCTTTTTATGACTCAGGAAGCAAAAGTGGTGAAAGAAAACATTCTGTTCGCAGAGCACTTAGTCTAATTAAGAAGAATTCAAACACTGACTGAGAATAATATACCCTCCTAACCTCACATGCCAAAGCACCCGAATAGGAAGACACAATGTACTAGAGTTTGGTTAAAATAGGACGTCTAGGCCACATATTTTTAAAGAGCAAGGCAGGGAAAGACAGAAAAAAATAAAATGTGAATTATCTTTTATGACTCAAACTGCTTCCCAATTAAAAGAACGTCCACACTTTCTCCCGTGGCATGTCCAATGCACGTTTTTCAGTTTACCCAGAACTGCAAAGTTCTGCCTGAACACTACTCACACCAACTCATACCCCACGATTTTTGTAGCACTGGGATTTTGTATTAGAAAGACACTGCCCAGGAGTCAAAGCAAACAGGGCGAGTGGGTGGCAGGCTCGTGCGTGGGCTCTGAGCCCTCACCAGCAGAGGCCCGAGGCAACCAGTCATGGCACCAGTTCGGGGTCATGGGTTTGAACCCCACATGCCATCCGGCTTGGCTCTTAGCCAAGCACACACACACGATTCCACACCAAGACAGGTAACAAACTGGACACAAAAATGCTCTAAACCAAAGACTTGCTCAGGTTCTGGACAAAATGTGTATAACTAGTAAATGGCATGTTTATAAAGATTATCTCAGACAAATGGTCACAATTTTCACTTGAGTCCCCCAAATTATGAAATGGCACTCAAATGAAAATAAACATGACCACCACTGTAAACTGTTAGGAAATGTCCTCAGCGGGGCGGGGGAGCAAAATCCGGAAGAAGGAAAAGACAAAACAATTTAATAAACTAAAATAGCTGAATGTTGCAATAGGTAAACTGAGGGAATTACAGGCTCCTTATCTACGCTCCGATAACATAACCAAATAACTAGTGAAATTATGATCTTAAAACATATACTTAGACACAATAAGCAATCAAATTAACACACATTTCCGATTACATTTAGAAAATGACACTGTATTATCAATGGAAGGAGTGGAAAAGCCTACCACACTGCTCGGTCCCAGCAGACGTCAGGATGTTAGGACAGTCACCTTTCCTTATATGATATTTCACTCACTCTACCCAGCAGCAGTTAATATTAAGAAGAATCACATATAACTCCATAAAAAATAACAACCTGGAAAAGTTAAAAGAACGTTTCCCAGAGGGGGGCAGAAAGTGACCGCTAGGATTTTCTGGTAATTACTGGGCAGGGAGGGGAGGAAGCAGGTCCAGGAGACGGTCTGGTGTCCTGCTGCGCAGGCAGAACCGGATGACCAGGACCCAATTAATTCTAGGAAATGAAATTCGAGTTCATGACTAAACAGAGGTCAGGCACTGGGAGATTCTGAGTCGAGGGGAAACAGGGTCGCCGACATTCTTATGAAAATTAACCCGGCAGGCGTGTGCACAAGGAGAAGGCTACGGGGGGAATGGAGCGCGAACCCCAACCCCAAAGGCAGCAGGAGCAAAGAAAGACAGGGTGCGGAGGGCACGGAGCACGCCGACCTGAGGGCGTCACGGAGGGTGCTGGTCCGGGCTCAGCGGGAGGCAGCTGCAGCAGGCGGCGACCACCCCACCGGGGTCAAGCCGGAGCCCATGGAAGGAGGGAGAGCAGGGGGGTGCGGCGCAGGGCCACGGGGGGGGGGGGGTGTCCAGGCCAGCGGGCCGCACCTCCCGGAGGCAGACGTGGGACCCTCGCAGCACCACGAGGCGGCCTGCAGCAAGTCGAGCTCCCTGAGCCACGGTGCCCCACCTGGGAAATGCGGGGAGCCCCCAGGCAGGCAGGAGCGCTGTGGGGTCAGGAGAGTTTCTGAAGCACGTTCCAGGTACGTTTTCTGGAGACCCATTCTGCAGCACGTCAGGAGCTGTGAAACGCATACTGGGTAACTGGTGAAGGCTGCAGCTTGAGATTTCAGACCTACTGGTAGGACGCCGTACGGCAGGTCAGAGAAACGACAGAGAGTTCTGAAAGGTTCAGAATGGCACGGTATGTGCTGTCATTCTGGTGAGCTTACAAAAACATATACACACAGAAGCATCCAGACAAAAGTTAACCAGAGAGTTCTAGAAACCAAAGCAGGTCCTCCAGTCTCAGCCGCAACAAGTGAAGACCTTACAAGCCGTCGCTCTTGTCCCACAACGATCAGACCGAGAGGCCTGAAGACCAATTACTTGTCCTGGAACAGCCATAGCAAGTCCTGGGTGACCGTGGCACACAGAGAGGCGGCACGAGTGGTTTGAGCTCCGCATATTACTCCACCAACCATAAGAGGAGGCAGACAGAGGTCACTGTCCTGAGCTACAGGGACGGGGCCTCAGTCCCCAGGGGAAGCCGGGCAGGCGGGAAGGGCTCGTCTGGAGGCCAGCGCATTCACCAGGAGGCCCAGGAATTCCGGACAGCAGAGACCTGCAGCAACCCCACAGGGGAGGGCCAGCAGAGCCTCCGACCTCCCAGAAAGGCCAGGGCACTCCCCCAGCAACACACGCTACGTCCAGAAAGGGAGCAGGCGCAGGGCAGGGCAGCAGCCAGGAGGGAGTCGGGAGACCCCAGCAGGGTGCAGGCAGAGGGCAGGGTAAGACCAGAGCAAAGACGGGGCGGGAGGCCCGAGTGCCACCTGCCCACTGCAAGAGGCAGCCAGCAGGGCCACCCTCTGGTGCTCAGGATAGGTGGGCTGGAACCTCAGATGGGAGCAGGAGACACCTGGAGCCCAAGGACCCCTGCCCGGGGCGGTGGGACCCTGAGAGGCCAGGGAGCAGGGCAAGGTACCAGTCAAGGAGCCCTGGCCCTGAGCCGGGGGCACAGGGAAGCCAGCAGGGGAGACGTCAGGAGGACAGCCGGGCACCGTCTCCAGGGACCCTGGGAGGTGGCATGAAGGCAGAGGAGGGTCCCCTCACTGGGGGGCAGGGAGGCCATTCCCTTGGCGAGAGCAGTTTCATGACAGCAGGAAGCAGCATTTCTTTCTATTTAGCAGATTTGTATGGTATTATTTCCTATTTAGAAGGTAACAAGGAACCTCACAATAGCCAGAATGAGCTTCTCAGAATGTACGGTATGCGTCCTCCTCTGCTCAGACTCAAAGACAGTGTCTCGTCTGGTTCAGAGAAATCCCAAGTCCTCACCACTGCAGCAGAGGCCCCACGACCCACTGCTTCCTCCATGGCGCCACCCCCACGAACCGCCCCTCCCACCATGTCCTCTTCACGGCCAGCACCCCTTCACGGCAGCGGCCCCCCTCCGCCCCACCTCGCTCCGTCCCACTGGCTGGCTACTCAGCACACCCTCCCGGGCGCTCTGCCCTCACTGCCCTGTGCTCACTCAGGCCTTTTCGGAAGAAAGGCCTTCTCAGCCTCCCCGGAGCGCCCCCATCGCTCACACCCCAGCCCCTTGCTATCCCGTTACCCGGGGACCTTTCCTCATAGCCTTCGGCACCCACAGCGTTCTGGTGATTTGGGTATTCCATCCCCCCGCTGAAATACGTCTGATGATAGCAGGAGTTTTAGCTGATTCTAAATCCCCTAAATCTGGGCCAGCGCCCAGCACGTGGTGGAAGCTAAGTATTTGCTGAATGAATAATGGCAGCCAAGCTCCGTCAGAGGAGAGACATGGAGCCTGTGTACAACAGCAGATACACCTTGTGCTGGCCGGCATGCGAACACCTAAACTGAAACAGAACTCCTCAAACTTCTCTAAGTGTCTTCAGCAGGGGATGCGCCCCCCAGAAGGCCAGCCCCACACTCCCACCCCAGGCCCCAGCGGCCCCTCTGAGGGCCAGCCCTGCACTCCCACCTCGGGCCCCAGCACCCCCCAGAAGGCCAGCTCTGCACCCCACCCTGGGCCCCAGCACCCCCCAGAGGCCAGCTCTCACCCTCATCCCAGGCCCCAGCACCCCCCAGAGGCCAGCTCTCACCCCCACCCCGGGTCCCAGCACCCCCAGAAGGCCAGCCCCACCCCCTGCCCCCCAACTCACAGCATCCGCAGTCGGTGAAGAGTCCGGTCATCCTGGTCTAGCCACGGCCCCTTGTCGTACTTCAGGTATCCGATGTCTTCTACCACCTAAGACAGAAGGAATCCCTATTTCAATGGCGAGCCCCACTTCAGAATGTTGAACGACACAGCACTTTAATACATCAAAAGCCAGAAGTATGTGGCAGAGAGAATCACACCACAAGCCTCAAAAAGAAAGGATGTTGGGCACACGGCCTTGAGTGGAGCAGCAGGGCTGAGCAGTGGCCTGGCCCAGCTGACACACGGGCGGTGCGAAGATACCCAGCTGGCTGGGAGGAAAGGGTCCGGAGAGGAAAAGCTTCCAGACTGGGGAAGCGTGCGTTGGTAGCAGGCCACTCACGTCCTCCCAGGGACGCCCGAGAAGGCAGGGCCAAGCCTCTCACGGTGGCAGCAGAGTGAGAAAGGGCACTGAGCGGAGAGCGCCGACCGCGTCTCGGCCAGGCCTCCGGAGGCCTCTCGCCCAGAGCCCGGCCAGCTCGGGGAACTCTCGCAGGGTCAGGAACTTGAGGACATTCATTTATGAACTCAAGAGACAACACAGTCTCAGAAATAAAATGTATCGTCTTTCTTCTCAGATACATACCATCTCTGAACAGTGCGTCACACCGTCTGGAAACGATTGGGAAGAATGGCAGCTTGCTGAGCCCAAGCAGGAGGCGCAGGGGCGGCCCTCAGGGCGGGGACTCCACGGCTGGGGCCGCTCCCACCCCCCGCAGGACAGCCCCCTCCCAGGCGGCGCCGGCGCTCCCCTCTCCCCACACCCTGAGGGGCCCTCTTCATTAAAGTCCTTAATTCTGCAACTCTTCCTGTTTGATATCCCTACACTTCAATCCCCATGCATAAAACCTGCATCTTCTTTTAGAATTTTTGTATGTTTTGTTATTTTGTTATTTAGTACTTTATGCTTCGTATGTTATACAAAATCTGGAACTTTGTGGGGTTTTTTGCCAAATGCGTGGTCAAATGCCTCATACCACTTAAGAAATGATTCTTTCTCTTCCGCTTCATTATTATCCCTCAAAGTACTGACTTACCAAACTGACACCGTGCACACACACGCACCCATTTCTCTACTCTGTTTGGCCCCACAAAGCCATCTGTCATTCTTGTATGACTACAAGACACATTCATGGCCAATTTGCTGTGTGCTTTTGTATCTGAGAGGACAAATGTTCCCATTATTCTGTTTTTCAATTTTTTTGGCTATTGCTAAGTTCTCACGAAAACAGCACTGAGATTGACTTGAATTTCACAAAACGTACCTACTAATCTGAGGAAAGATAATATTTTTATATTACTAAGTCTCTCCTATTAACTAATTCAACTTTCAATTTCACCATCTGCTTGATAAAAATGTTGGAACAAACCATTTGATAATGTCAAGATCCTAGAAACTGAATTATTTAAAAGAAAATGGAAACCTCATGATCTGAGAATGTGATGGGCTGGCTTGGTACTTAGGTCATAAAACAAAGACGTTTCTAAGACCAGTGTGAGCTCAACTGATGATCTGATCTGCAAGAACCTTACACATGAATCACACTTAGGAGGAACTATTAACTTTCCCCCATCTCCTTACCTTTTCTGCATCTTCAGCTTCCCTTACACTATACTGTAAAACTTCACATTTTTCACTGTAAGACAAAGCAAGACAAATTCAGTGTAAACTCTGTAGCTTACAGTAATGTACATTAAAGCCCCTATGCTGAGCTGAACCCCCACATTCTCTGAGCTGGGCCCCACACTGGCTCCACAGCCCAACCAGAGGGGCACATGAGCGGCAGAAGTGCGCCCGTGGCTGGCCACGTGTCCTGGCTTCCCTGCTCACTCCGTGAGTGAGACCGGTGTCTACGGGGACAGGGCACCCGCGTGGCCTCTGCTGCCAGAGACAGTCCCCTGCTGTAGGACACGTCACAGGACAGTACAAGGAGGCGTGGGTACAGAGCACCAAGTGGTGTGGGCTGGAGGGGGGCAGGCTCTCCGGGCTGCTGCAGTTCAGGAGACAAATGACAGCCCCCGTCCCCGGCCTGTGGTCTACACCCTGGGATACCACAGCGGGGCCCCAGAAGGAAAGGGACAGCTGCCCCTGTGTGTCATCTCCGCACTCTTGCCCACTTCCTCACTACGTCCCCTGGTGCGCAGAGCTGGCTGCCCAGCCAGGCCCTGGCTGGAAACCTGCAGGCTTCTAAGTATGTTAGACAGATGTGAAGGCCAGCAGTAGCCCACAGGGGAGCCCGCCCGTGCAGGAATGCTTGAGGCCCCGCCCAGCAAGGAGACAGCAGGGTGCCAAGGATGGGCCAGTCACCGTGGACCACCTGCATGGCATCAACAGGGGACTTTTCCTCGTTTGGATAGCCCTCTCACAGATGGGCTGTAAATCTGTAAACAGTCCAAGAATTACAAGCTATGTTCAAACTACCATATCTTCAGCAGGTGGCTGGTTTAATCAGCTGAGGCAGTACAGGTAAAGGATCTATACGACATGTCCCCACCACCTGCTCACACTGATACCGAGTGTGAGAGAAAGGCTTTCTGGCACTGTGATTATAGACAAACTTCATTCCCCAATTCAGAGGAAGTTATCCAACCAGACGGTGTTCTCTCACTGCAACTAGATCACTGCAGGGACAGAAACCCCTGCAAGCCTCAGAAGCCACAATTAAACCCAAGTGTGTAAGAGACAAAAGTTGCAAACACGCCTTGGATGTCCCAGGGACGCGGCTGGCACTGAAAGAGCATTATTTTTTCTCACACAGCAGCCTATGTGGCATCCTTGATGTGTCTGCCACCAGAGGGGACAGGTAAACACGTGACAGGTGACTGAGCACATGCACTACACCCCTGCCAGGCGGCAGGCACTGTGTGGGGTGCACTGTGTGGGGTGCACAGGTGACACAGACAGGGCCCTGCCCCCACAGACGCGAGAGCTCAGCTACTACCAGCAACAACCTAGAGCCGATTTTACAGCCAAACACTGGGCTTCCATGGGGCTTGACTCCACAGACATTCATTTCACAGGTGCCTATACCAGGCGAGCACCCCGCCTCAGGCACAAGCAACCTGGCAGATAGGACAGAACCGACCCCACGGGCCGGACTGGCCACTTCCGCGCCTGCTGGCCTCCGCCGGGACTAAGGCACGGAGGGAGAGCCACCGGCGAGAGGCTGCAGCGATGGCCATGACCGCCCAAACACAGGCACACACTCGGGGAGCGCAGCAAGACCTATTTCCCTGTGTGCTTTCAACAAAGAAGAAAGGTGAGCAAGCGTGAAGAGAGAAGAAAGACGCGGCAGTGTTTCTGTCAGTCCAAACACCCAGAGGATAGCTTTTAAAGACTCTAAGGAGGCGGTTTACCCTTCGTGAATCTTCCGTACAGACTTGCTGAGCCCTTACAGGCGATCTTTCCAGGTAAACATGAGCATGTGGCTGCCACCTGACATAAAAACTGAAGGGTTCCCAAAGCTAAAACCTGCCACAGAGTATAGTACGGGTCTATTTCTGGCTTCAAATACTATTAGAAACAAAGTAAAACAAAAAGTATTGGCAAGATAACCCAATCAAAACCAAACACACCAGCCCAAACCCCGCCAGCTCCAGCTGAGATGTGTGCTGGCGCTGTCGCTCACAACGGTCCCAACGCCCACTGGCACAGGTACGCAGGTGAGCGGGGAGCCGGGCCGCCGGGCCTGAGGCACCAGTGAGGGGGGCACAGCCCCGAGAGACACCGTGCACTCGGCTTACCTCATCTGTGGGCAGAAGACTCTCTTGTAGGCATTCTCGATGTCCTGAAGGTAGGCGGAGGTGATCTTCATCTCATGCGGCTACACAGGAGCAGAAAAATACAAGTGTGTACTTCTCCTGGTCCCTGTGCATATGTAAAATGTGCAAACAAGCACAAACAGCTTTCTCAGACCCACTGTGCGGAGCACTGTGGAGACTGTGGGGTGGCCGGGAACGGCCTTGGCATCAGAATTACTGCCCTACAACGAGCACCTGGTTTGCTCTGGTGGGCCCAGCATGCGGGCTCTGCGCAAGCGCTTCAAGATGTGGCTTAGACTGGGACCAGAAAAAGTCCTTTGGTAGTTAGCACAGCTGGCCTTCGATCCCGCCGTGTGCTTGGCTGCAGGCAATGGAAGATTCCAGACGCTAGCGGGACCAGCTCATCTCTCCCCCGCTAGCCTCAGCACGCCCACCACTCCCCAGTCCTCCAGCCACCTCTCCCCGCTTCCCATGGCTCACTTCCCTTATCATCTGAGGTTTAAGCCAATTTCAGGAATTCACAACTGCAACCTGAGGGGCGAACTTCCACATCTGGCACCTGCCGCGGCCGAGCAGCGCTGCAGGCCAGCGCACACGGCTCTCCCCTGACCCGCCTCCCCGGCGTCACCTCCTCCTGGTACACTTCTCATGTATCCCCTTGCTTCCTACCTGCCAGTCTCCCACACTAAATGTAGGAACACACTGATAAATAACACAATGCTTCTTTGATAAAATGCTCACACAGTGCTCATGTTAGCTGGTGACAGCATTCACGGAAGACTTTACCTGGAGAAATTTAAAAGTTCACCGCTCTAATGTGGGCCTCAAAATTGTTTCTGAAATATTGTTTCCCAGATTAAGTTGCCTCAAGAATTCTGTATGTACCCATCTGTGTGTCTGAACAGCACCATGATAAGCAAAGGCATCTGAACTACCCCCGAGGGAAGATAAACCACTTCTGCCTCGCAGTTCCCACCTTTCAGCAGCCGGTGGGACACTGAACATCTTAATCGCACGCCATACTGAGGAGTGAACTCGTAGGCAAGGGAGGCACACCGACTGGCAATCGACAGGGTAGGCAGACATGGCCTAGTGCCCACCACTGGAGAGAAGAGGACAGCGTGCCCGACAGATCTTTCAGCAGCAGCCCAGGGTAGCTGGTGCTCTCCCACTGCCCACCCAAGGGCCCACCATCCAGGCTGGCATGTACAGGGCACCTGCGAGGGTCCCGGCACTGAGGACAAGCTGGGGGCTGACAAACACTTGGCCACTCACACTCTCCTCAGTGTCCAAGACAACACCCTATTTTCCCCAGGAAAACGTCCCCTGAGCAGAAGCGGCATTCCCCGGGCGAAGAGGCCTTTGCCAGCCCGTATGAAGCGTGCCTACAGCACCCCCAGGCAACTTCCACCTGCAGAGGCCAGGCCGCCTGACTCAGCCTCACCCGACAAGGAAGTGGGCGTGTGTGGGGCGCACTACTCCTCTGCTCTAGAATCAGTGAGCAGGACAAGGAGAGAGGCCAAATCTGAATCGAATGGGCAGGAGCGGGGACTGAAAGGATATCAGAAATTGCTTTCAATGTGTCTGAAATAAGGAGACACAAAAACTCCATCAGAGAACAGACAGGTACGAGCAGGGGAAGATCTGCCAGCAGACTTACCCAGCCTCACACGACGGTTTGGGGGACGGGTTCAGGGATGAAAGTGGGCAGGCGCTGGGGCCTGGAGGGCACTGGCAGAGGACAGAGGGTGGCAAGGGCTTCATAAGCCCTCACAGAGTGGCCGTGCCCTGGGGGCCCCAGCGCCTGCCTCCTCCCGAGGGCTGCGTGCAACCCACACAGCCCACCGCCACCGCAGAGGCCCTCGTCTAAGAGCTGACCCGCGGCACAAGTAATCAGGACACAGAGGGAGGCTGGTCTTTGGTTTAAAAGTGAACGTACGTCTCCTTTCTTCTGAATCCGAGCCTGGATCTCGGGCACAGGCACGTCGACGTAGATCACCACGTGGGGAGGCAGGTACTCACAGATGGTGACCTTCTTCACCTCGTTGTAGTGGTCCACACCTGGACGCGAGAGAGAGGTGCCTGTCATCAGCAGGCCACGGGCACATTTCTGAGGCGCACTCTGCTCTCCGAGTAAAGGGCAAGGCATGTGCAGTTTTCAGAGCCTCGGGTCAGTCTGTGAACCACACACCGCTCTCAGCCGCCGGCACTGGCCACACGCTTGATGTGCACACACTACAGTGCCAGGGCATTTGCACACGTTCTTTTGAAGACATTCTGCACCTTGAAATCCCTGAGTGTAACTGACGTTACTAGAATTCAACAGGCCACTGAAATGAAATCACGCCCCCCTCCCCACAGGGGAGCAATGGGAAGAAACCATTGGCCCTGCACATTGTCATGTGGTAGAAAGTTCCAGAAGCAATATACTTGTGTGATCATCCTAAGATCCACAGAAAGATAATCACTTGGCTCTGAAGAACACGTTCAGGTGGCCACTCCTGCTGACTCCTGCTCTAGCAGCTACTTAGGAAGGGCCTTGGATCCGAGGCCTGGCAGGCTCTGAGCTGCAGGACCACGAGGACCACACAGCAGTGGAGCCCAAGTCAGCGGCCAAGCCTGGGCTGTGGTGCTGCCCCCGTCCCGGCAGGATGCACTCGGTGCAGGTGCCCCCTCCCCATTCAGCCCGAACAGTCCAGTCGCTCCGCCGCCAGGGAGGACTGCCCTCCACCTCCTCCTGCCCCGCGAACCCACCTGCATCAGTCCTGCGGGCACTCCCACTCCCCGGGTCATCTTCCACCTCACTGGGATCCAGCCACCCTCAAGGGGACGTTCTTCACCAAACCAACACAGAAGCAACTCATTAAAGCCACCAGCCCCTCACAGTCACTTCTGAGGTCCTGACCCACTGGACACTAACACTCCTTATGACGACTGACACCCTCTCGTGGGCTGGGAGCACTGGCAGGGCCTCTTCTCCTGGGAAATACACTGCAGCTCTGACGCTCATCCTCATCTCTCACGTGCTGGCGTGTCCTGGGACGTGTGTGTCCACCATGAGCACCAGCTCCCCCAAAACCTGTCTCCAGCCCTGACTGGTCCTCTGGACGTCAGGCTGACATGCGGCTACCTGGCAGACATCACCAACTGGCCACCTCACAGGAGGGAATCTCTAACTCAACGCTTCAGATACAAAACCTCCTCCTCAGCCCACTGCCCCGTGGCATCCTGCCCACCTGGTGGCTCCGTCAGCCCTGTGGCCTGCTTTCACTCTCCCACATCCCCCACAAAGCTGGCCCCCCAGCTCACCAAGTGCAGACCACCCTCCCCTGTGGGCCTTCATCCTAAGGGCCCACCCATCCTACTCCGACTTCCTCCCAAAGGGTCTCCTTTGCTTTGTTGTCCCTTCCAAACGTGCCCTTCAAATGAACGAGCCCCCATCTCACCACAGCCCCCACTGCCTGAGACCCTCCATGGCTCCTCAGCACTCGCATGAAAACCCACGCATGCCAGCCACGGTGCAGGCCTGCAAGCGCAGCCCCAGGGCCCCAGCTGCCGACCTCTAGCCAGGGCTCCCTCTGAAGGGACGCTGTCCCCGACCGCCTCCGCCCCTGCTGGCGAGACACCCTCCTGCATGCTTCCACAGCGCCTGAGAAGACAGAGGGGCTGTCAGTGCTGTTTCTGGCAGTCAGCGCACCTACGGCAGAGCCTGGTGCTCAGCCAGTGCGCCAGCAACGCCGGTCCACCGACTTCAGCTGCTGCTCACAAGGCCCGGCGGGGATCGGCCGGTGCCTTGGTCAGAAGCAGGGCCCAGTTGCCCTTTCTGCAAGCACATGGGTGGACTACCCTCAACGGCAGGAGGTGAGCAGGCAGAGCCAACGGCCCCACCTCCCGACTCCCTCAGCTTCCTGCAATCTCCCTGCTCATCTACCAACTCGTCCGCCCTCCGGATCGGAGCCGCCCACCAGCTAGAGCGGCTCCCTGGACGCCGGTGCCCATGTCCCCTGCAGACGAGCACGTCTACAGGCTGGCTGGCCACAAGGACTCGCACAGCCCTGGCCCCACCCTGACAGGCGTCCACCACTCCCCACAGTCTGGCTATTGCAACCAGGAGCTTTTTATTCTTGCCCTTTTGCCACCTGCCAGACCTCCAACAATTCCCCAACCCAGAGCTGCTGTCCCTAAAAGTGCTGGCACGGCCCTGTGTCAGAGAGAAGGGGAGCAGGGCAGTGACACTACCAGGCAGGCGCAGGCAACGTGGATACGTAAAGACACGGCACCGGACACTGGGCAGTTCAGTCAGGCTGATGCTGAAGAGCGCAGGTTAGCAGAGCTGGAGGGGCTCCTGGGCAAGACGGCGTAAGCCCAGGGGTTCAGCTATTCAAGGACCCAGGACACCACACTGCTTTCACAGGACGTGTGAATTTAGGAGGGAAAAGGGGTGGAAAGAATCATTTTTCCCTGTGGAAATTCAACAGGTAATGGTATTGATTCACATCCATGTAACAGTCACTCAGAGGACCCGTACTAACTGCGAGACGAGTCCCCAGCCCCTTCACAAAGCTACCCAGCACATCCAGGAAGGCTGGTGGGCAGCCCTGACTCACACTGCTTCCGGATGAATCCCTGGCCGTACATCGCCTCCACAAAAACAAAGTCACTGTACACGGAGCGTTCCAGTACAACACCTTGTCCTGTGTAAAGCAGGGAGACAAAAACAATCAGGTAATGAAGCCAGCACTGGAAGCTAGTAATTTCATTTTAGAAAGGGGAAAAAATCTACTTACAATTGCATACTTTCACCAAACAGTTTCAAAAGAACACACATGGGCTTGTAAGTAGGAAATAATTTTCAAAACCTAACACCCTGATGTCAACGGTGAACATGCTGTTCGTCCTTCAGCTGAACAAAAGCACCCAGTTAACAGCAAAGTGCTTCTGTTAAACCACGGGTCTCCCACCCCACCATGCCCACGGCAACCCCACCTCCGCCAGCGGCTCAGGAAGACCATCCCGACGTCACCTCAGCCCCCAGCCATCAGCACACCGCCCACGTGCTCCTGACCATGCACAGCAGCCGCCGTTACCTCCTCAGCGTGCGGCCACCGCACCTGACGAAGCCACAGCACCAACTCCCCAGGCTCTGCACCCCAACCCCGGCTCTGCCCTGGCCCCCCAACAGCAGGCGGCACTGCCAAGGCTGAAACCAGGCCCTGTAAGCCCTCTGCTCAAACCCCACGGCCCCCTCTCTGCTTTGGAGGAAAACCTCCTCACCCGCCCACTTCTCTGACCTCATCCCACCCCCCGGCCCTGCTTGCTGCACGGGGGCCAGAGGCCTCTAGACAGTCCTGTGGCACACAGAGGGCTCTACTGCCACTCGGGGCTGGTCCCCAGGGGCCCAGCCAGAATCCCTGTGCCCACCCTCTCACCTTCCCATCAGGAAGTGCGGCCCCCAGCCCTACCCGCAACCCCTTCCTCTCAGCTCGATGGGACACAGGGCCGGACTCTCCCCTCATTTACCCTCAGCCCCAGGAGGGGCGGGGGCTCGCCTTGCGCAGCATCCTAGCGTCTGCGCACCTGCTACGCTGCAGGCACTCACTGAACACTCACGTCGCCGACAAATTACAGTGACACAAAATCAAACAAGGTAAGTTTTCTTTTAAAATGTGTCTTTTTAATTTTAAGACGTGGGGAGTCCTAATACCAGGTCTAAGTATACTTCAAAAAGAATCTAACATGAGCGGAGTGAGTGTCAGTATGAACTCCCAGCGCTGACCGGCTGCGGGGAGCTGCGTCCTGGTGCTGAACACGGGAGGCGGGCCACGCCCTGTCCTGGCAGCAGTGCTAACCCGAAGCAGGGCTTACACTGGCCGAAGGAAAAGCGTCACTGGTAAAACTTTAGGAAGCGAGACGGGAACCGGGTCCCTCTGTACCTGTTCAGACACAGAGCATCCTCGTGCGTCTGGTGGCACACACCATACACATGCGGCCCTACCAGACAGGAAGCCATGGCTCCTGGGGCCCTTGTTCTCACACGCACACCCACGAAGTAGATGCCTTAGGAGGCTGCTGAGCTGTTTATAAATAAGCTCACCAGGTAACCGTGGCAGCCAACACTGAGCTCACACAAACACCCCACCGCCTGCTCACACGCACACATGCCACCTGCTTCTGCCCGAGTTTAGACCCGCCACGGCTTGGTGGCTCTGGTCAAGGCGGCAGCATCGGGGACGTTTCGGGGCTGGTCCACAGGGTGACGGCACAGCTGGCCTGGACCTGCCTGGACCCACCTGGACGCACCATGACTCACCTGGATGCACCTTGACCTGCCTGGATGCACCTGGATCCTGCCTGGACCCCACCTCACTCTGTGAGCAGCCTGTGCCTCTGCCCGCCCACCCTCCCCACTCCAGCCCCCAAACTTTGTGTCCTTACCCCTGATACCTGTCTCGCAGACTCCAGACCTCGCCTACCCCAATAAACAGCCCTGCCCATTTCCTGCTGCTTTGGACAACTTCCAGGGACACATCACCTTTCCTGAATGGGCCCAGGGGCAATGTGTGCCCCCTCCCCCACTGCTGTACCTTCTCCAGGTCTGACTTCTACCCTGCAGACTGATGGTAAACCCCAGCCCACCTCTGCTCGGAGACAATGCTATTTTGTGCATTGCATGTCTGCATGATGCACAGCCGCACCTTCCCAAGGGCAATTCCACTTCTACAGGTTCTCTCTTTCCTCCACTACTTTGACACACTTCTATAAGCTTAGAGTGGTGGCGTGGAAATTCCACACAGCCCAAAGATCATGCTCCAGCACACAAAAACGAAGTAATATTAAGTGAACTTTATCCTAAAGCAACTATAACATGGGTCTCAGGGAATTTATGATCTTACTGGGAAGACAGTCTGCCCCACCAATTACCCTTGGAGCAAAGCCCTACTTAGCAAGCGACGTAAAACTGAATTCCGAAGCCCAGAGCAGGGCTCAGGTGCACGGCGTCCCTACGGCCCCTGCGTGGGCGCCGCACCTGTGCTCAGCAGGTGCTCCAGGGCGTTCGCGTACTGCAGGAGGCGGCTGGCGTACAGCCAGGACTGCAGGCGGTAGCTGTTGCCGTCGTTACTTTTGGGGTCGTCATAAAACTTCTCCAAGCTGCAGTTGCCGCTGAACTCAGCAGCCAGGTCCCTCCCATCTCCCGTGGTGCTGTCTGCATAGTGTATCCCTGCTTCGGGGAAGTGCTTTAAGCCTGAGGAGAAATAACCAGAGGAAACGTGAGGTGGGTCCCTCACCTCCCACCAGTGCGCAGCATGGCCGACAGAAACACAGCCCCGTCTGAGCTGGTTGGTCAGACCTGGAGCTCAGACCTGGAAAAAGTGACCCTCATGCTTGCATTCCACATGTACAAAAGGGAACATACAGGATACAGAAGAGAGCATGTCTAAAACACGCGTGTAAGAGCATGTCAGCTAAAGGGCTAGGCTGCAGCGTGTCCCAGTGTCCCCTCCTCCTGAGAATGAGAGCCGCCTGTAACTCTGCTCGCCCCCAGGTGCAAGTGAGCGCCCGCCTGGCAGAACTGGGGTACAGCAGACTAACAGGAGTTGAGAACGGGCTCAGACCCCGGCTGTGTAGGGACCAGGGTGCAACCGGCTTCTCCCCGAGTTCACACGTCTGCCAATGACAGCAACAGTCCCGTTTCCAAGGGCTGCTACAAAGCCCAAAATCTGTTCATCTCCAAGTTCAGATCATCAAGGTAAAATTCAAATTCAAATCAACAACCAGCATGCATTTTTTAAATCTCCCAAGTCTGAAAGCTAAAAAGCAGCCTTCTCAATAAACATGTCAAAATGTAAAATGCCTACCTTAGGCCCAATTCTACCTAATCAACATTAAAATAATACCAAACTCAGATGAGCAACTGTATATCTGACAAAAAGTTACTGTGCACGACATAGGTTCATACCTAGTTTCTCCGCTATTTGCTTTGCAAGCTTGCCTTTCCCGGAACACAGGTTGCCATCTACAGTTATCACTCTGCTGTATTCCGTCAGTTTTTTGCTCGCCCTCTCGCCCAGGATGTACGCCAAAGGGCCGTACTGCCACTTGCGCTGGACACTTGTGTGAATCCCTTCCTGAAAACAACATCACAAAAGAGCACAACGTGAGCCTTCTGGGTGCGAGACACGAGCAACCACTCGGTAAGAAGGCCAAGAAGGCCCCGCTGATAAAAACGCCAACATCGACATCTTTATCGCCTCCTGATTTGTTTGATTAAGGTCCCCTGCCCTGCCTGCACTGTGGGTTCACAAGGACAGGGGAATTGTCTCCTGTTCACTGCTGCATCCTTGCGTTCAGAACAGTGCCTGGAATAGACACACTCACCAGTCAATAAAAATTGGGCGGACAGACACACAGATGGATGGGTGGATGGACGGACGGACAGACAGATGGATGGATGGATGGATGGATGGGAGGCAGGGAGAGAGAGGGGAAAGGAATAAAGAACGTTTCTCTGGTCCAGGCTTCTGGCCTGAGCTCCAGACCTGCGTATATCACTGTCTTTAAACAGCTCCAACTCCATATCCTGAAAAGTACTTGAAAGCTAACTGACCTGGATCTGAGATTTAACATCTGCACCCTAACCCCCAAATCTGCTCACCGTCCCAAGCTCCCCATCCCCTATCCACCAGGCAAACCAAGCAAACGTGGAATCACCTTTGATATCCTCCGCCCCCTGCCCAGCCCATAACCGCTGGCAAACTCCTGCCAGTCTGACTCTGGCGCAGTGCCACCCCCCAGCCCCTAGGGCTCATTCTGTACCTCCACCCCCACGGCAGGCACCTGCCCCATCTCCTTGCTCCAACACACCCAGGCTACTCTCCGCTCTAAAGCCAAACCATCCCCCCGCCCCGAACAACAAAGATAAGAAAGAAACACAAATTGAAAGGAAAACAACTAAGGAAAGTTCAACACATACGAGGGAACACAGCCTTAGTGCACACAGAGGCTGAACAGACTAGTAAGGGCGCTGACAGGAGCAAGGGTGGGAACCCACAGCTTATTTTAGAAGTACTAAAAGTAACCAAAAACCATATGAATTTAATTTTTTAAATGATGATATGCAGTGTTGGTACAGGACAATCCTCATACCTGCAAGTGGTGCTGTAGACCCAGGCCCTGGACCTCAGACTAGCAACTCTACCCTAAGGGACTACACATGGGTCTGTGTAAAGATTTGCCTACAGAGATGCTCCAAGAAATGTCATTTATAATATCAAAAATGTAAAAGAAACCCTTAATGCCCAACAACAGAGAAGTAGTTTAAAAATTAAGGTATATCCATCTGATGGAATACCAAGTACTCTTTTTGTTATGGAATAAAAATAATATAAGAGAACATAAAACAACGAGATTGTTTCAATCCTGACCAGCTTGATTTACGGTCTTGATTATGAGCTGGTGCAAAAGCAGTTACAGGTGAGAACACAAAGGCAACACAGCTAACAACAGGCAAAAGGTGTGAACACATGTCACAAAAGGACATCTAAGGAAGGGCCGATAAGCAGACAGAAACATACTCAACAACCTGTCATTTGGAAACGGCAACTTAAAACAGAAAGATACAACCATTCACTCAGGAGAACAGCCAAAAAGCCAAAATCTACACCAAGAAGTGTTGGCAAGAAGGCAGAGCAACAGGAATGCCCTTTAGGGAGAGCAGGAATGCAAAATGGCACAGTCCCTTTAGAAGATGGCTTAACAGTTCTTCTAGAACTAAACACAGTCTTACCACAGATCCGGCTAATCCACATGCCTCGGCAGGGTTACTCATATTCACTAAAAACTGGAAGCAACCAAGATGTCTTTCAGTAGCTCAATGGATAAACTGTGATACACTCATACAATGGAATATTATTCAGAAATAAAAAGAAACGCATTTTTCTATTTTTCCACTCATTTCTATTCAACCACAGAAAGACATGAGTGACTCTTAAATGCACATCTCTAAGTGACAGAGCCAATACGAAAAGCAACGTACTGTAGGCTTCCAGATAGATGACATTCTAGGAAGCGCTGAATGAGAGGTGGTGAGATCAGTGGTTGCCAGGGACTGGGGCGAAGAGGACGGGCTGAGCGGGGAGAGCTTGGGATTTGTAGGGCAGTGGAACCACCCAGTGTGACACCGAGCGGTGGGCATGTGACACTTGCGCTTGTCAAAACCCACAAAAATTTACAGCACCAAGAGCGAACTTCAACATAGGCACAATTCTGAAAACTCGCTTAGGTTGAGGAATCCAGACTGGAATGCAGAACGTGACAAACCGACAGCGTCACCAGGCATGAAACCACCTCCCTGTGGGGCCGGGGAAGGTCTGGAACTCAGTGGTCTGAGACGCAGGCAAGAGGAACTGTACTCTGCCTGGTAAAGATGTTTCTCACAGAGGAAAGGTTAACAACTCTGATTATTACTATACATGCATCCTAGAATCAAGCGGTTACGTAGATGGACAGCAAATGGTGGGAACCAGGTTTCTCCCTGCTGGACTTTCGGGAAGTTACAGATGAGCAAGGGGAGAGGCTAGAATGCCCATGTAGCTCTGAACCACACACATTACTGTGAACTCATCCGATACAGGGGCAGATGGTTACACGGAGAAGTATTTACAGGTATCAGCATACACACAGGTTCGTGTATTTGCTGCCTGCTGAGAGGACCCAGAAGCAATATACTGTCCCCAGTATCAATCACCCCGAGCACACATGCGGAAGAGTTACACATCATTTCTGTAGATACTCTGCCTTTGAGGAAGGGGGCATAATCTCCCACTCCTTAGGTGTGGGCTACACACAGAGACTGCCCTTCCGAGGGGACACAACGGGAAGGGGGCAAGTGGAACCACCCTGCTACCCCAGCCAAGCGGTCAACATCGACAGGGACGGCTCCTTGCGTACAATGTGGTGGGCATGGCTTTCCCGCTGTGCTCCCCCTCCCAAGAACACACAACCCCGCTCCAATCATGAGAAAAACATCAGATGAGTCCCACTGAGGGACAAACCCCTGCCCAGGGCTGCTGTCAAGGTCATCAGAAACAGGGAAAATCTGAGAAACCGTCAAAACCAAGAGAAGCCTGAAGAGACATGATGACTAAATGTGATGTGGGATCCTGGGTGGGATCCTGGAAAGGAAAAAGGACATTAGAGAAAAACTGAGGGAACCTGAATACAGCCCACCGGTAGTTACTGAAAAGAAAAAGAAAGAATGCACTGTATGATCCCCTTTTTGTAAATAATATATACACAGATACATTCACAGCAGGAAAAAACTGAGACAAATACAGGAGAAAGGATGTACATGAAAAGTCAGGAGTGATGCCTGCAAGAGCAAAAGGGAACCACCCAGAGGCGCATCGACAGGAAAGCAGGTTAGCGCGCGGAGTGCATTCTCTATATGCCCCAAAATCTCAACGTCCCATCACTTTGTGAACACTTAATTTACTCAGTAGCAACTGTGTGTCATTCATTCATTTTTTTCTTCACTATTCAAGTATTTATTAGGAGCCTATGCTATGTGAAGCACCTTCCTTAGACAATGGGGATACAGCAGGGAGCCACAGGACTCCACGGCATAACAAAACAAAACAGTCGCTATACAGCTCATTAAATAAGTGCTGTGGAGGGGAGCATGGTGCCCGTAATGGGCTGTGATGTTCAAGTGGGCGGCGGGGGAGCTCTTGCAGGAGTGACGCAGGGACAGACCAAAAGGCAGGGAGGGAACCGCCCCCTGAAAGAGGGTCTCTCAGGCAGAGGGGACAAATGCCCTGAGGCCGCAGCACTGCAAGGCCCAGCCCGGGTGGCGAGGCTGGCACCAAGGCGGCTGAGGGAGAGTAGAAGAGGTATGTGAGGGGGTGTTAATCACATCACCCCAGAAATTAAAGACTCTCTCCTCTAGGCTATCTATGAGCCATGCGCAAACTGTTTCCCAGCTGTGTCCACAACCTGAACATACCACAGGTGTGGCACAAAGCAGATGCACAGTAATGTTCCAAGTAATGATCCCAGCAATCAAGCATTTCCTCACTTCAAAATCCTTAGAAAGTGCTTTTTTACAAAGTTACCACAGTCTTCTCTAAATTCCCATTCTCAGTCTCATTCTTCTCTCTGTAGTCACAATGAATAACCGATCTTAGGATGAATTTCCAATTCCTTGCTTTATTCCTCAAGTAATCAGGGTTACCCCTGTTCATCTTACTCATTTCTCTCCGGACCTGCTGAGGCTCGCGCATATCCCCCTGCAGAGGGCAGTGCCCATCGGGGCGCGCCCTGTCTCGGGCGGCTGTGTCTAGCGTGTGCCCTGCACCACAGCACCGGGTCCTGACCTCCCTGACACAGGCCCCAGTACACTGGGTAGTAAAAAGAAGCCTGGGTTATCTTCTAAAAACACGTATATGAGTTCTTAATAACACTGTTACACTGTTCTGTCCAAAATCCTCTGCTGACCAAAATGCTTAGCCACCTTAGCCAGGTCAACTTCCTTTGCAAACGGACACCAGTGTAGCTCCGGCCACGAGTGCGCAAAGCAGCTATGATGCAGTCACGGCCGTATTAGTTTTCCGACGGTTTCCAGCCCAGCTCTTTGCTTCCCTCGTTCCCTCCGCGTACAGCGTCTTCCCGCAGTTTCTCCGCCACTCAAGTTCTCCCGACCCTGCGTATCTAACTCGGCTGCCTTCTCTCCCGTTTCTGCTGCGCGCGCCCAGGCCCTCGGGGCTCATCCTGCCCGCCGGCCACCGCGCAGCAGCAGGGACAGTGGCCCTGCGCCCGGCCTCCGCCACCAGCGCGCCCACGAGGCCGACTCGCCTCCGCGCCCGGGCGTTCCGTGGGGCCGAGATGAAACGGCCTGGGCAGCCCGCCGCCCCTCTGAGTCGGCCCGCGACTCAGGCCCCGGGGGCCCCGCAGAGTGACCCTGGGAGCTGCAGCCCGGGGGCCCGGGAGAGGAGAGGGGCTGCGCCGGGAGGACAGGCCAGGGCCCCGCTCCCCGCCCGCCCGCCGCCTCACCACGCGCTGGGCGCCCGCCGCCAGGCCCCGCGCGGACGCGGACGCGGGGGCCAATCTCAGCAGCCCGGAGGCCATGGCTCCGCGGTCGGCGCCGGCTCAAGGACCGAGCGGACGCGGTCGCGACGAGGTCCTTTCCCGCGGCCGGCGCGCCTCGGTGACGTCAGACGGGGGTGCCCGCGCGGCGCCTGCCGGGCCTTCCGGGCGCGCGAAGAGCGGGGTCAGCGGCTCCCCGAGGCGGCCGGGTCGCCCGAGTCGCCCGGGCGCCGCCGGACCTGAGGTCGTGCCGCGCGGGGAGCTGCCCCAGGCAGCCTGTAGCCGCTACTGCGCCTCACGCCAAGTCCAGGGCGCAGGTGCCGACTTCTCAGCCCCCCGGAAGCCGTCCGGCAGCCGCGGGGAGGGCGGCCTGGGGCTGGGGAACGAAGGGGCGGATGGCGCGCGGCACCGGGACCGCGCGGGCGTCCCAGCGCGCGAGGAGGGGCCACCGGCCGACGGGCACCCGGCAGCCGGCCGAGGCCGCCCCTCCCCGCGGGCCCCCGGGGGGCTCCCGCCTGCGCACCGTGGTCGGACGGACGCCCCGGGTGCCCTCACCGCGCGGCCGGCCCCGCTGGGCTCCAGGCCCTCGGTCCGCGCAGCGCCGCGCGGATTCACTCGACCGGGGGAGGCCCTCCGCCACGCCGGCCTCTGGAATAGTTGCTATAATGTTCACATCCCTCGGTCTCACGGTTCTGAGTATCCTAACTTTTCTTTCGTTTAACGTTCATTTGGTTTTCAGCTGTCCAGACGGTCATGGAATGCAAAGCAGAACGGGAATGCAGCTGTGAAAACGCACCTGCCAGAGGAGCATTCCTGCTTGTGCGAAGGAGCAGATTCCCGATCCCAGAGCCCGAGCGTCTGATTCAGAAGACCCAGGGAGGCCGTGAAATCCGTGTAACAGGCTTCCAGCTATTCTGATATAAATGGGCCACATGGAGAGAGATACTGTCACAGACCCTCCTGAGAGCAGGGGCCACATCACATCCTGCACACGAGTGTCCCAGCCTGGAGCAAAACTGACACATGTGTTGCAAGAGCAGTTGGGTGAGCACACCCCCAGTAAGCCGGTGTGGCCAGCCCTCAGCCCTCCAAGCCCCGTGGAGGCCCCGGTCTTCCAGGGCTTCCCTCCACGTCCCCATGCCTCCGGGAAGCCCAGTGCCCTTCCCAGTGTGTCCGAATTCAGGGCGCCTGCCTGGGCATCCTCACCTTGTACCATCGTCCATCTGTTCGGCCTTGAGCACTGCAACTGTCTTTCGCAGCTTTACCCCAGGTGAAAACACACCCTTTATCTTACTTGCCAAGACAAGATCCTTGTGTTGAACAACTCTCACTGATGGCATAGTGAGAAAGGGAAAGAGCGCAGCAGGAAACAGAAATAACACTGAGCTTCAGACATCCTGAAGTTTCTCGAACATCCCTACGGTGTGGGGTCATGGTCAGGCCCTAACCCACCAGCCTGGGGACCTGCCTGTCAGAACCTCCCCAGGCCTCCCTCCTCTCCTCCAGGCACCTTCAAAGTCCGGGTCCTGAGAGGGAAGAGCAGGCCTCCTCAGGGCTCTTAGCACTGACGTCCCTGATGAGTGTCAAACACAAGAGATGCTTTGTTAGGTATAATGTGTCCCAACTACTTTTTTAAATCAGAATTTAAACATCAGTCTTGTAACTAAATTGACCTTCTGGTGCACAGAAGTAAACAATGTGTTTTGAGTGTCCCTAGTTACGACACCATCATAAACATCCCATTACGGACGGACCTCTGTAGCCAGCTGCAACCAGCTACTGCCCCTCACCGTCCAAAACATGGGGACAGTATGCTTGGGAAATTCACTTCCACATGAGCTCCAAGTATAAATATGCTACAAGTTAGCGTTCTGCCCAGCTTCCGTTTGATGGTATAATCACTCAACTACAGCCGAGAAACCAAGTGAGAGAAAATTCAATAATAGTTCATAATAGAAATAGTTGGTGTTTCTGATTCAATAGAAGATACTTGCACTACCTTGAAATCATGCAAGGTGTGGTGATTACTGGCCTCAAATTATCTTCTCAAGTCTCCATTTGAGATGCTGTATAATACCTGGCATGTCAGTGTCATTTAGTAACGTAAAGCAAGTGATGGAAACCTCATAGTAACAGAAGGTAGTGCATGTGCCTGGCTGCAGGTATAGTTTGATCCAGATCTCAAGCAATACTATCCTTGTGTCACTTCTCACTTCTGCTTCCCTGACTTGTGTCCACACAAAACCCTGTAGGTGAATATTTAGTGCAGCTTTAGGATAATGTACAGAAATTGGACTGCAGCCAGATGTCTTTCAGAAGGTAAGCAGTTAAACAGACTGTGATGCATGCATACCACAGCAGGGAATCCTCGTGGTGGTGGAATCATGCAGGCTCTTGAGTGTGGTAGTCGACCCAAACCTACACAGATGATGAAATTTTATAATAAACCAAACACAGATGCACAGATAAATACAGGTAAAACAGGAAGCCTGAACGAGGCAGGTGGATTCATCAGTATCCTGGCTGTGATATCATACTATAGTTTGGCCACTGTTATCATTGTAGGGAAGTGGGCCAAGTTCACAAAAGATCTGCGTGTTATTTCTTACAACTGCATGTGAATCTATAATTAATAGGATTTTTCATCTAAAAAAATTAGATGGTCTTATCTGGAGATTTTTCTGGCTTCTCTCTTCTGTTCCATCAATGTTTGTGTGTCACTGCACAATATCACACAACCTTGAAAATCAGCCTTCAAGTCAGTAGACTACTAATTCCTCCAACTTTTTTCCAAAATTGCTTTAGCTGTTCTTTTTTCTTTTTTTTCTTTTCATATAAAGTTTAAGATAATCTTCTTTGTATATACAGAAAGAAACTGTTAACTATAATTTTGATAGTGATTGTGTTAACCTGGGCAGCAATCTGGGGAGAATCCTTTTTACCACGTCGAGTCTGCCAGTCCATGCACAGACCGTGTGCCTCCATTTGATTCCCTCCATCAGCATTGCATAGTTTTCAGCATATAAATTCTGTATATGTTTTGTTAGATTTGCACTCAAGTACTTCAAATTTTTTGAGTGCTTTTAAATGGTATTTTAAAGTTGGTTGCCTTGCATTCATTGCTAGTACATAAAAATACAGCTGGATTTTGTGTGTCGAGTTCGTATCCTGTGGCCTTGCTGAGTACACATATTAGTTCTAGGTTTTGTGTAGATTCCTTGGGACTTTCTGTGTAGACAATCATGTCATCTGCAGATGGGAGTAATTTTATTTCATTCTTTCCGACCTGAATGCCCATCTTTTCCTTCCCATATTGTGCTGGCTGGAACTTCCACTACTATGTTGGATAGCGGTGGCAAGAGCTGACATTCTTAGGAAAACATTCTGTTTTTGGTTAGGCATAATGCTAGTCTAGATTTGTAAATGCTCCCTAGGACTGAAGCAGTTGTCTGTGTTCCTTGGTTGCTAATGTTAGATTTTGTCAGTTTCACTGTGTCAGTTGATATAATCGCACAGCTTTTCTTCTTTAGCCTGTTCACGTGGTGGATTTCAGCAATTGGTTTTTGCATTTTGAACCAGCCTTGCATCCCTGAACTAAACCCCACTCGATCATGTGTCATTCTCATTATATATCGCTGAATCCTACTTGCAAATATTTTTAAAGAATTTTTTTAATCTATATTTATGTGAGGTAGTGATCTGTAATTTTCATTTTTGGACTTTGTATGGTTTTGGTATCAGGCTTATTTTGAATTAATAAAATTATATAGGAAGTATTCCTCTTTTGTGTTCCCTGACCACTTCTGGTTGGTGACAGAGATAAGTGACAGTCCCCGATGGATGACAGTGTGTGATCACACAGTTTTCCGGTGCTGCCAGGCTCCCTCGGTGGTGCTGGAGGGACTGTCCACCAACCAGATGAAGAGTGGGCCGGCCCGAGCCACAATTCCTATGCGCAGCAGACCGCCCTCCAGACTCAGCACACTGAGGGGGTAATTCTCCCAAAATCGCTGTACAGGTTTAACGCAATTGCTATCAAAATGACAGCAAGAGTTTCTTCCTGTACAGACAGAGATTGTCCTGAGAGTTATATGAAAAATCAAAAGAAGAAAAAAAGGGGGAAAAAAGCTAATGCAATTTTGGAAAAGAATAAAGTTGTAGGAATCAGTCCATCAACTTCAAGACTGATTATCAAGGCTGCGTGGTATTGGCCAGCGACAGACACAAACACTGATGGAACAGAAGAGAGAAGCCAGAAAAATCCCCATACTAATACAATCAACTATTTTTTGTAATTAAAAGAATTTTAAAAACTCAAATACCTAGAAAAATATAATAGGTCCCTATGCCAAAAATAAAACAGTATCGAGAAATTGAAGTTGTACATGAATAGAAGACTATGCCTTCTTCTTGGATTAAGAGCCTTGAAATTGTGAGGATGACAGTTATCTCCAAATTGAGCTATAGATTCAACACAATCCCAATAACTATCCAAAATACTTTTCCTCTGTTGAAATTGACAGGCTGATTCTGAAAATGCCTGTCTCCCTCCCCTGATTTGGGAGGGCCGAGATAACCATGCAGCCTTGAAGAACAGTAGCAGAGATGGAGGGCTTCACCACCACACATGACAAAATGTCAGAAAGCTACTGTAATTATGATGACGTGGCATTGGCACAGCAAAAGACAAACACAAATGGGACAGAGTAAGAAGCCCAAGAAGAGCTGAGGACAGACAGGTGAGTGCAGGTAGTGGATAGATACCGGGTGCATGAAAAGGGTGACACTGCAGAAGGGAGCACATGCTCTTTGCAATGAATGGTGGGTCCCACCTCAATCTGATATCCATACAGAAAAGAATGAATTCAGACCCATGTCTCATACCATAAATAAAAATCAATCTCAAATGGTTTAAATCTAAACACAAAAGGTAAAACAATGAAGCTTCCAGAATTAAATAGAAGAACATCTTTATGACCTTGGAATAGGCAATCATGTCTTAAATGGAAAGTAAAAAAACACTATAATAGGAAATAAAGAGCTTCTCTTCTTCAAGACACCATTAAGAATAAAAAGGCACACCCCTAAACCAGGATATTTTTGCATTAAGTATAAAAAACAGAG